TAACAGGCTCTCGGTATTGGTGAGTGAGTGAATGGATGGATGGATGGATGGATGGATGGACGGATGCGGGCTGCGCCTTCTTCTGAATGCCCGGAGTGTGGCAGAGCCCAACACAGCGGGTGCTCCTCATGAGAGCTACACTGGCTCTAACGAGAACTCTTGACAGCGTCTTCACCCTAAACAAGGGTAGACTGGGGTACTGTCACCACCCAGGTGTTAGTGAGAGCCACGGGAGTTGATGCAGGGGTGCCCTGAAAAATATCAGCAAGGTGTGACAGACCCAGGCCAATCAGAACAGATATGCGGCAACAGGTCCCACGCCCCTGTCCTGCCAAGCACAGTCCCTTTAGTTGCTGGGTCATAGACAGCCCCCGTGGGCAATATTCAGTCAGCTCAGAGTTGAAGTTCTTCCCCACCGGGTAAGGAAATATCACACTGTATTAACCACCAATTGTGGCTTCACAGGTGCAAAACAGCTGAGGTCAGCCATGAGCCACAAGGAGCACACGGGGCAAGAAGGGACAGCTGACAAGAGCACCAGTCTCAGGGACACCCACGCTTCTGGGATGCACAGAAGATACTCCTGCAGATACAGAACAGAGCTGTGGAAGAGGAACCAGGAGCGATGTTCTAAACTCCAAGGAAACGTCTGGAAAAAAACGGCCGACAGCATCAAATGTTGCAGTGACCTCCAGGATGCAGAAGAATAAAAGCCATCCATTAGGGACATCAGTATTAAACTGATGACAGTTCCCGGAATGCTGTCCCAGGGTGCCGAGGCCACCAGGATGTTGATTTATTGGAATGAGCACTGAGAAATGAAGACATATGTACAGGTGTCTGTGATCTTCTTTCCGGAAACACAGGGTTACTTATCTTGGTTAGAGACTGCAGCCAGTGTCAAGGGAGGACGCCTCCTATTTATTAATTTACATGTTTATGAAGAGAGAGACCCACACATACTTAAAAAAATATGAAGGGGCCATTAGGAATGGAGTAGTTGAGAATATGGAAGCAAGGAAAATTAATACATTTGAATGATATGTTAACTGTTATTAGCTATCTGAGGGAATATACAACCAGAAAAAGGAATACACTCCCTCTTCAAATATGCATATGTTATTCACAAAATTGATGTTCTTGAGACACAAGAATGTGCTCATTAAGATATCAGGTCCTGAAAAGGGGACCTAATATGCCATACACCATATTCACAGAGAGCCATACAACAAAACAAGGAATCATCAGCCAAACAATGAAAAGTACCAAAGACATGAACATTATAAAATAATGCTGGGATCAGAAGGGAACACATGATGGGGGCGGGGAGAAGCAATGAAAACACCACACTTCCCATGTACTACCAAACAGGGCCTTAAAAGGAAAAAAGATACTGTTCCAGATATTTTTCTATTCGCAATAATGTACCTGAAGCACTATGAAAGAAGTCTGTGCTTAAGAGAACTTTGAGCGAGTGAACAAAGTAACAAGCCAAAAGGAGGAAGAGGGAGACCAAATCCAAAACATAACAACAGCAGCAAAGAAAAAAAATCAGAAAAATAAAACACAAAAAGCAAATACAGCAAACAATTTAATACCCACTAAGATAATATGTGCATTCAGAGGCTGGTCTCTGCGGACGACTGCATAGTGTAAGAACAGAGGGCAACATAGAATCATTACAGCTCTCCCGTATTAAGCACCTTCCAGAAAGTATCTGTTTACTGCATTGTAATATGGACCCTGTTTTTTCATTTTACCTGCAAGGAAGTTAACGCTCAACCAAGATTTGAACTTAGTCATTGATTAAACTGCTTTCTCTGCACCAGACTGTGTCTGCCAGGAAGAAACAAACAGGCAGAGAAAAGTGAGAAAAAAATTAAGGATAATAATGGTGAATTCACAACCCAGATTTGTATGCACACTTCAAAGTGACCATTATTTATTTTAAGTTTTATTTATTTAAGACACCTCTACACCCAACGTGGGGCTCGAACTCACAACCCTGAGATCAAGAGTCGCGGGCTCTTTTGAGAGAGCCAGCCAGGTGCTCCAAAGTGACCATGATGAAAAGTCTATTGGAATTTAGTAAAAAACCCACAGCAACTTCTTTCTAGATATGTCTCCAAAGGCAAAGGAAACAAAAGTGAAAATGAACTTTTGGGACTTCATCAAGATCAAAAGCTTCTGCAGAGCAAAGGAAACAGTCAACAAAACAAAGAGGCAACCCCACGGAATGGGAGAAGATATTAGCAAATGACACTACAGACAAAGGGCTGATATCCAAGATCTATAAAGAACTCCTCAAATTCAACACACACAAAACAGATAACCACGTCAAAAAATGGGCAGAAGACATGAGCAGACACTTTTCCAAAGAAGACATACAAATGGCATGGAAAAATGTTCATCACTAACCATCAGGGAGATTCAAATCAAAGCCACATTGAGATACCACCTTACACCAGTTAGAATGGCCAAAATTAACAAGGCAGGAAACAACATGTGTTGGAGAGGATGTGGAGAAAGGGGAACCCTCTTACACTGTTGGTGGGAATGCAAGTTGGTACAGCCACTTTGGAAAACAGGGTGGAGATTCCTTAAGAAATCAAAAATAGAGCTTCCCTATGACCCTGCCATTGCACTACTGGGTATTTACCCCAAAGATACAGATGTAGTGAAAAGAAGGGCCATCTATACCCCAACGTTCATAGCAGCAATGGCCACAGTCGCCAAACTGTGCAAAGAACCAAGATGCCCTTCAACGATGAATGGATAAGGAAGATGTGGTCCATATATACTATGGAGTATGATGCCTCCATCAGAAAGGATGAACACCCAACTTTTGTATCAACATGGACGGGACTGGAGGAGATTATGCTGAGTGAAATAAGTCAAGCAGAGAGAGTCAATTATCATATGGTTTCACTTATTTTGGATCATAGGAAATAACATGGAGGACATGGGGAGATGGAGAGGAGAAGAAAGTTGAGGGAAATTGGAGGGGAAGATGAACCATGAGAGACTATGGACTCTGAAAAATAATCTGAGGGTTTTGCAGGGGCGGGGGATGGGAGGTTGGGTGAGCCTGGTGGTGGGTATTAAGGAGGGCATGTATTGCATGGAGCACTGTGTGTGATGCATAAACAATATATTCTGGAACACTGAAAAGAAATTAAAAAGAAGATGTGGTCCATATATACAATGGAATATTACTCAGCCATCAGAAAGGAGGAATACCCAACTTTTGTATCAACATGGACAGGACTGGAGGAGATTGTGCTGAGTGAAATAAATCAAGCAGAGAAAGTCAATTACATATGGTTTCACTTATTAGTGGAACACAGGGAATAACATGGAGGACATGGGGAGATGGAGGGGAGAAGGGAGTTGAGGGAAATTGGAGGGGGAGATGAACCATGAGAGACTGTGGACTCTGAGAAACAAACTGAGGGTTTTGGAGGGGAGAGGGGTGGGGGGGGTTAAGTGAGGCTGGCAGTGGGTATTAAGGAGGGCACGGATTGCATGGAGCACAGGGTGTGGTGCATAAACAATGAATTCTGGAACACTGAAAAGAAATTTAAAAAGTAAAAATTTTTTAAAAAGAATTTAGTCAAAAACCAAAACTTACCTATGATAAACACAAAATAAACATCTGAATGGCACCTTTGTATTTTCTTTAGACTCTCTCCCGGCATATCTACTTCGTACTTTCTTCTCTACCCCAATTATTTCACTAAATCTTCACAAATTTGTAATTTAAGAAACAGAACAAATGACTAAAGGAAAAGAGAGAGAGAGAAAGAGGGAGGGAGAGAGAGAAAAACTAGGAAACAGACTCTTAACTCTAGGGAATATACTGATGGTCACCAGAGGCGGGGGGATGGGGGAAACAGGTGATGGAAATTAAGGAGGGCACTTGTTCTGATGAGCACCAGGTGAGGTCTGGAATTGTTGAATCCTTATATTGTACAACTGAAACTAATACAACACTGTGTTAACTATCCTGCAATTTAAATAAAATAAAAAAAAACCCAAAATGCAAGAATCTCCACAAAATTCTGAGAATGGCATTTATATTTGTTCCTATTTACCAGGTGAGAAAGTAGGGAATTAGAAAAACTAATGGCTGCTCCACAATCTTACAGCAAGTTAGCAACAGAGCTGGGACCCATTCTGATGCCTAATGACTAGTGATCTAATATCACGGGACTATTTAAAAGTCAAATCTGCTTTTAGATTTGAGATATAATTCACAGTCTACAAAAAATTTACCCTTTTGCAGTGTACGGTTCAGTGACTCTGGGTATTTTCATGAGCTTGTCCAACCAGCACTTCTATCTCCTTCTGGAACATTCTCACCACTTCCAGAAATAGCCCTGGCACCCATCAGCACTCATTCTCTTTCCTCAAGCTTCTGGCAACCACTAATCTACATTCTGTTTCTATGAATTTACTTAGTTTGCACATTTCCTAGGAGAGGACTTATTCATATAAAGATGTGGGCTTTTGTGTCTGACTTCCTTCACCCACTGTAATGTTTTCAAGTTCCACTCATGTTGTAGCAAGTATCCTGGGATTCAAGGGTTGAGAGACAACCTAGACACCCCCTACCAAGTCTTCTCAATTTGTAGATGGGGAAACTGAGGCCTGAGATAGCCCGCAGAGTTAGTGGCACCCAAGTCCCCTACTGCCTAATGCTGTTATTTTCACTACACCACAACCACCAAGACAATCAGTGTAATAAAGAAGAGCTTCCACAAATAAATAAAAACATTAATGTGATATGCCATATATTAGAAAGAACAAAACATAAGGTAATAAAAGCTGGTATTTTACTAACTATTGTCATACTCAGTGAGGAGTCCCACAGGTCATTTGTTTCACGGGATGTGGGAATGGTACCCGATGCGCAGGCAGGAAAACTGGGCATAAGTCTGAAGTCAGTGTTTGCTCTCTCTGAACAAAGGTAATGATTTAAAAAGCCAAGTCTGAATTACCCTTAGTGAAAGTTCCAAATTTTCTGCTCCCGAGAGTTTCATGTCCCTGTCGTACTGTCCAATCTCGTTAAAATAATGCCTATTTATAGCAAAAATTCCTCCAGCCATTGCAGGCGACCTAAAAAGGACACATAAATATTAAATCACAGACCCAGTCATTCTGGATTTTTTGCCAAAATTATACTGAATATTAGCAGTAACATAAAAACTAGAAAATAGCACAATACTGATACAAAAATTGTTAATATATATTTAGGAGAACATGGCCTAAGCAAAACCAAGAGTCCCACACTTAACCAACTCCGCCAACCAGGCGCCCCCGCAGTAACTTTTACTTAGCTCTCAACGAATTGTATAGTGACATATTGTCTTCTTCTTGAGAGGGAACATCATCTTTAGAATGTGAATTTCCCCTGGGGACAAATATTGAATTGGGAATTAGAGTTTACAAATCTCCCTTTCCAAGCACATTAAGTGTGTTACATTTACTTTTGGGAAAACCAATGTTACAAAGCATCTTTTTTTGGTCCACCAATAGCAGGGCCCAATAACACCAAAGTAAGTAGTTTGAAAATGATTACATGTTCATCTACTCATTTATTTTTTTAAAAAGTAGGCATTAAACACCTATGATGTGTTTGAGATAAACTAGTGAATCAACAGCTCGTACAGGGGCAAGGGTGGAAAGAGGGATCCCAGTGTCACCGTGGTCTTGGAGGAAGAGGATGGGATTGTGGATAAGCGTCCAGCGGTGAATGATATGTGATCCAACTCCCGATGTATTTTGAAGATGGAACCAGCAGATTTGCTTACGAGTGGGATGTGGGTGGAGGAGGAAGAGAAGAGTGAAGGCCAACCCCAGCATTTTGGCCTGGGTACCTGGAAGGTAGAGTTGCCGTGCACTGAGATGGGGATGCTAGGGGGTGGGGGTAGATTTTGGTGGAAAGATTCAGCTGGGGACATGTTTGAGGTGTCGAGTCAGCATTCAACTGGAGATGCCAGTAGGCAGTTGGAGGGAAGAGTCTGGCACTAGGCAAGTGGCCGGGGCTGGAGACAGAACTCTGGGAGTCCTCAGCTTAAGATGGGCAAGAAGCGCTTCCTGAGCGTGGGGAGGCGGAGGTGAGGATCAAGAACTGAGGTTGGAGAGAAGACAGGAATTGAGGAATCGGCAAAGGAGATGGGAGCGAGCAGAGGGGTGGGGGTTGGTTAGAAGGAAGACCTGGAGATTGTACTGCTCTGGAGTCCAAGGGATATATACAGTATATACCCAGGATATACAGTGTATAATGCACGGAGCATACAATATATGAGGTATCAACTGTCTATGGTATCAGTAAGGTTTTCAGTCAACACTAGGCTCTTAGTCGTTAGGGAATTGGGGCGTCAAAAGCTACATTCAGAGTTTTGACTGCACGGGGTGGTCAGTGTGTCTAACTCCTGTGTTGTTCAAGGTGAACTGTATGTTATAACACATGTATCATGTATGATATATATTCTATAAATGATTGGTATCATGCTAAGTTTTTTATGGCTTGATTTTTTATTTAGCATATTGTGAGAATTTTCCTTTTATAGTAATTAGCTTTCAAAAAACTTTAGGTAATATTCTACAAAGTATGATTATACTTTTTAACCATTTCACTATGAACATTTATGTTGTTTTTATTTTTTAACTAATATAAATGTCGCTGTGATAGATGTCTCTGTACTTACTTCTCATTAACTCCTTAGGGAAGTGTTTCAAGAAGTGGAATTATTGCATTGAAGAATAACATTTATAAGATTTTTAATGTATATTAATGTATTAATTTTAATGTACATTAATATAATGTCAAATCATTTTCAAAAGCATGTGTGACTATATCTATACTCATAGTGTATTCAAATTCCAAAAATGTTACTACTGAGCAAATACCAGGAGTAGTTTTCCTATTGAAATTTTTAGAGCCTAAAGCATACCTGATATGTGATACAGGGAAATACTATAAAATTATGTCAATTTTTTTGTAAATGGAATACTGCAACTACTTCTTCCTGAAAGTAACTTCATTTTAAAATAAGTTCATTTTGAGATGAACTCCAAATGTTGATGCTTTTTAAAAAATTTTTGAGTAAATCATTATTTTTACATACTTAATGTTGTTTAAATGAAGTGTATCTTTACTCTTTTTCATTCTGAAGTCTGGGGGACGCCTGGGTGGCTCATTCGGTTAAGCACCTAAGCTCTTGATTTCAGCTCAGGTCATGATCCCAGGGTCATGAGATCGAGCTCTGTGTAAGGCTCCCTGCAATCAGCTCGGGATTCTCTCCCTCTCCCTCTGCCCCTCCCTACCCCACTCATTCTGAAGTCTGGAACAGTAAAATAGCAACCACTGATACTGATCACCTCCCCCATGTCAGCCCTTAGGTTATGTTCTTTTTTAAAAATTATTTTTATTAACATATAATGTATTATTTGCCCCAGGGGTACAGGTCTGTGCATCATCAGGCTTACACATTTCACAGCACTCACCATAGCACATACCCTCCCCCAGTGTCCATCACCCAACCACCTTATTCCTACCCCAACCCCGCAGCACTGGGTTATGTTCTTTACAAGCATTGGCCCATTTAATCTCTTCGATAATCTCGAGAGGTATGCATTTTATTATCATCATTTTACAGATGAAGATAGTGAAGCTGAGAGAGGCGACTGGCCCAGCAGAGGGCTGCCTTATTGCACAACTCCGGGGATGCCAAACACCAATAATCTTTGTGAATAGGGCCTCCTGGAGATGTGCAGTACACAGCCTATACAGCTATACACAGCAGTCCTGAACAGCTAACAAGTAGTGGTTGGAGCAGAGCAAAAATGAGTTATACACTGGAAGGTGTATGAAGCGCTCTATTGCTCTAAAAACAAAGACATTTGGTGACATCTGCAAAGAAGGGTTTTAAGAAAACTAATGTAGCAACAGAGAAACTGGCATGAGGGAGTGGAGACTGCAGGCCAGCTTGTCCCTTACAGTGTAGAGGCCAAACCCAGGACAGTGAGGGCCTAGACCATGGGGACAGGCAGAGAGATGGAGAGATGTCCTATGAGAGTCATCACAAATGCTGAGTCCCCTGGAGCTGGTTAATCACTGAATTAGAGTAGGCAGTGGCAGACCACAGGTGTAGTCAGGCTTCATGGCTGCATAGTACTCCATTATGGTTCCAGCATAAAGTACTAAATAATCTCCCAGTTACTCCTTCCGGTTCTTAATGTTTATTTCATCCTTGAATCTGGAGGCCAGGCTGTGTCCCAGGAGTAAGGGGCTCAGGGCAGGGGCAGTTACTGGGACCAAGGGAAGTAATAAAGATTTGGAACACCGACTGGGCAGGGAATGAGTGCATAAAGAGATGGCAGACCAGCATGAGGCTGGAGATCATCCATGCATTGAAGCATCGGCTCACATCTTTTAAAGGAACAAAGAAAGCAGAAGGTGAACTTGATCAGACTTGGAGGTTCACGGCAGGCTGGAGGTCCTCGCTAGAAAAGCCACAGAAGAAGAATGAAATCATTGGGGCACCTGGGGGGCTCGATTCAGTTGAGCATCTGCCTTCAGCTCGGGTCATGATCTCAGGGTCCTGGGATGGACCCCACATCGGGCTCCTTGCCCAACCAGGAGCCCGCTTCTCCCTCTCCTGCTGCTGCTCCCCCTGCTTGTGCTCGCTCTCTCTCTCAAGTAAATAAATAAAATCTTTAAAAAGAGAGAAGAAAGAAACCATGAGGGGGAGAAACAGAAATCAAAGAACTGGAGATCCTGATGATGTCCAGTGAGTAGGTGGGCAGGTGTGAGTGGGGCATAGCAGGGAAAAACTAGGAACATCTTGGGCCGTGGCCCAAGAGACAGATATCCAGTAATTTAGAAGATGAAAGGTCCAGGACATGGCTATAGGAATAATAATAGCTAACAATGATAAACACTGATGTAGTACTTACCATGGACAGATACTGTTCTAAGCTTTGATATATACTAAGTCATTCTCACAACAACACTGTGAAGTATGATTAACCTCCAGACTTTCCCACATAAGGAAATAAGGTGCAGGGAGGTTAAGCAACTTGCACAAGTTCCCAGAGCTTTAGTTAAACTAAAATAGAGACAAAGATCAAGGACTTGCTAGGCTACAGTGTTAGAAAATTTACTTGCGTCATTTGTATAACACAGAGGTTGGTAGTAGAGGAACAGGTGGAGCCGGGCATCCGTTATCAGTAAATGTTGCGGGGGGGGGGGGGGCCTGGAGGAAGTCTCTTCGGAAATAGCCTCACAGAGGAAGTTAAAAGTCACAACATCAAATTGTTCTCATTTAGAAATACATTTTCCAAGACTAATAATTGAAATAATAGGAATAATAATAATAGGAAAATTGTATTCATATCTATAAAATTATAGATGAAAGCATTTAGATAAATGTTTTATACATGAATTTAGCCGAGACTTCTACCTTTTCTGGGCTATCCACAGTACTAGAATTTTGTTCCTTGACCACATGCAATTTCCTCCTGAGAACCAAGTCCACATTCTAAAGACAGACCCCTGAAACCAGAGGGACACTGCCCATGGCAGTGTTCTTAACTGGACTGAGATTCTCATTTCCAATCAAAGAAACTAAAAACCTACCAAGTTCTATTATTATAGACTTTTAGAAACAAGATAAACAACAAAAGAGTTCTCATTAAGCCCAAGAAATTGAAAGAACCATCTCTGAAATCTATTTTTTCCCTAGGTCCCAATACATATTCCCATAACCTGAAGAAATGTCCTACCGGATGGGTCTAGTGGATCCTTCTGGTCCATCCATCTCATAAGAGAAAACGTTATCCCATTTAAATTCTAGATGCCAGTTGAAAGCACCCCTTACCGCCGGAGAGGGCCTGTACTCTAGGGTTTCGTGGTCGATGGGATCTATCAGAGGACACACCACCATTCTCGGGTCCTTGGCAATCGCATGCAGCAAGGGCTGCAGCCACACACGATTCACCTCACAGTGGCTATCCAGGAACACCAGCACATCCCCTAAGGAGGCAAGAACAGGTTAGTGTTAGTGTGTATGGCTAAGACAGCTGACAGCCCAAATCAAAGTTCAGTGCAAGAAGTATTTGTTAAGCGTTTACTGTGTTTGGCTTTTCAAGTGCTTCCAGATTCACTGGGGGTGAGTGGGGACTGGAAACACATAACTTTATTTGGTACCATGTCATGTACCATGATGTGCCATCGATGTTCAGAAGAAGCCGGTGAATTGTGGGTGAGAGAATGGTTTGGGGAAGATTCTGAAGAAGCAGGTGTAACTGAGTTGGGCTTTAATTAAAAACAATTATGCTAAGTATTTTTGCTCTTGAGTTCAAGTTTAATGAACGTCTGCTTAGAGAACATGGGGGAAATTGGCATGGCCAAAATGAAGAATACATGTTGTTAAAGTACCTTAATGGGCTCAAATTGGAAGGGACCTCAAAATTCAGGTGCAGAGTTTGGATAAAATCATAGGAAGGTATAAGAAACATTCCACGGTTGATCAGAAGACTTAATGTTGTCTAATCTCCAAAGTGATCTATAGATTTAGTATAATTCTTATCAAAATTGCACCTGGTTCTTTTGAAGAAATTGATCCTAAAATTCATACGGAAAGGCAAAGAACCCACATTAGCTAAAATGATCTTGAAAAAGAACAAAGTTGAAGGACTTCTGGATTTTAAAACTTACTACAAAGCTGTAATAATAAAACAGTATGACACTGGCATAGGGATAAGGAAGAGATCAAAGGGATAGAATTGAGAGTATAGAAATAAACCAAACATTTGTGGTTAGTTGACATTTGACAAGGCTGCCCAGCCAGTTCAATGGGGGAAAGAATTAATCTCTTCAGTGAATGGTCCCAACACATCTGGGTATCCACATGAAAAAGAGGGGTGCCTGGGTGGCTCAGTTGGTTAAGCGTCTGACTTTTGATTTCATCTCAGGTCTTGATCTCAGGGTCATGAGTTCAAGCCCTGTGCTGGGCTCCACACTGGGCATGGAGCCTGCTTAAGAGAAAAGAGAAGAGAAGAGAAGAGAAGAGAAGAAAAAGAAAAAGAATGAAGTTGGGCCCCCTCATGGCAAACACAAAAACTAAGTCAAATGAATCACAGACTTAAAATGTCAGAACTAAAACTATAAAACTCTTAGAAGAAAACAGAAGCATATGCTGACCTCAGGCTAGATGATTTCTTAGATGTGAAACCAAAAATACAAGTGACAAAAGGAAAAATAAATAGGACTTCACAAAAATTAAAAACTTTTTGTTTTTAAACAGACACCATAAAGTTGAAAAAAATCCACAAAATGGGAGAAATTATTTGAAAATCACACATTTGATAAAGGACTTGTATCCAGAATATGTAAGGAACTCTTACAACTCGATAATAATAAAAAAAGATAACCGAACTTAAAAAATGGGCAAAGGAGGGGCACCTGGGTGGCTCAGTCAGTGAAACATCCTACTCTTTATCTGGGCTCAGGTTATGATCAGGGTTGTGAGTTCAAGCCCCGTGTTGGGCTCCATGGTAGGAGTGGGGTCTACTTAAAAAAAAAAAAAATGGGCAAAGGCTTTGAAAAGACATTTCCCCAAAGAAGATATACAAATGGCTGAGAAGCATATGAAAAGGTGCTCAACATCTTTAATCATCAGGAAAATGCTAACAAAATCATAGTGAGATAATATTTCATATCCACTAGGATGGCTATAATCAGAAAGGCAGCCAATCACAGATGTTAATGAAATTGCAGAGGAATTGGAACCCTTGTCCATTGCTGACAGCAATGTAAAATGTTGCAGTCTCTTCCAAACATTATGTAGTAGTTCTTTAGAAGCTAAGCATACAGTTGCCATACAGCCCAACATTCTACACAATGGGTACACAAATACCCCAAAGAAAGAAAACTTAGGTTTATACAAAGTCTTGTACGTGAATGCTCACAGCAATATTCTTCCTAAGAGTAAAAGAGGCATAACTCAAGTGCCCATGAATGGATGAATGGATAAACAAAATGGGAAACATCCACATAATGGGACATTATTTGGCAACAAGAGGGAATGAAATACTGACCCATGCTATGACATGGAAACATCATGCTAAATGAAAGGAACCAGTCACAAGAGACCATATAGGATATAATTCCATTAAATGAAGTGCCTAGAGTAGGTAAAAAAAAATTAATGTATAGAAGGTAGATTAATGGTTTTGGAGGATTTGGTGGAGGGGAAGAGGAATGGGAGGAGAGGCGATGGCAATTCAGTTTCTTTGTAGTGCAAAAAAACGTTCTAAAACTAGATCATGGTGATGGTTCCATAACCCCGTGAATATAGTAAAAAACACTGCATTGCATACGTTAATGGGTGAATTACACGTGAATTATCTCAATAAATCCACAAACATCCTTAGGAAAGAAAGAGTACATCCTCTACTTTTTAACTCAATTACAAATATTCTTATGTGCGATTCACTCGGTATTTTAAATCATTTTTTAACAAAGATTTTATTTATTTGACAGACAGAGATCACAAGTAGGCAGAGAGGCAGGCAGAGAGAGAGAGAGGGAAGCAGGCTCCCCGCCCAGCAGAGAGCCCGAGGCGGGGCTCAATCCCAGAACCCTGAGATCATGACCTGAGCTGAAGGTAGAGGCTTTAACCCACTGAGCCACCCAGGTGCCCTGATATTTTAAATCATTAAAAGTGACAGAAACTTGATCCCTCAGCCCACTGGTTTCTTTTCTTTTCTTTCTTTTTTAAAAGATTTTATTTATTTGACACAGAGAGAGACGGCAAAAGAGGGAACACAAGCAGGAGAAGCAGGAGAGGGAGAACAGGTTTCCTGCCAAACAGGGAGCCCGATGCTGGGCTCGATCCCAGGTCCCTGGAATCCTGACCTGAGCCTAAGGCAGATAGATGCTTAACAACTGAGACATCCGGGCACCCCTCAGCTCACCGGTTTCTTACCGACCCACCCAAAATGGCACTACATGCTCACATGTATTCTACTGACTCCTTGAATAAGCAGGAGTCTTCGGAAGAGCCACTGTATTCTGTTCCTTTTTTTTTTTTTTTTAAGATTTTATTTATTTATTTGACAGAAAGAGAGAAAGAGAGAGAGAGATCACAAGCAGGCAGAGAGGCAGGCAGGGCCGGGGGGGGGGGAGCAGGCTCCCTGCTGAGCAGGGAGCCCAACGTGGGACTCAATCTCAGGACCCTGAGATCATGACCTGAGCTGAAGGCAGAGGCTTAACGCACTGAGCGGCCCAGGCACCCCTATTCTGTTCCTTTTAATCCACAGGGAGGACTGGTCCTTTCCCTGCCCTTGGTTACAAACCCGAGCTGGTGCAAGACTTCCCAGGTTACTCTTTGGTTCACTGACAGTCTCACAGTTCCTTTAAGTTGGAAACACTGTCTCAGTTCAGCCTTGAGGATTTCCAGTCCCGTGTTACAACCCAAACTTGGGCGACTGCCTGCAAAACGGCTCATTGTCCCTCCGCCCCTCCCCCCCAGCTAGGGGGGATACATGAAAACGGGCTCAACATCACTCATCATCAGGGGACCATGAATCAAAACCACAGTTACGATACTACTTCACACCTGGTAGAATATCTATTGTTAAAAGGACAAGAACTAAGAAGTGCTGGCGAGGATATGGAGAAAACAACCCTTGTGCTGTTTGTGGGGATGTAAACTGGCGCACCCCACTACAGAAAATACTATGGACTTTCCTCAAAAAATGATAAAACGGAACTAATCGAGCGATTGCACTTGTGGGTATACAGAAGGAAATGAAACTGAGATCCTTTAGAGTCACCCGGACTCCACATTCACTGCAGCGTTATTTACAATAGCCGAGACGTAGAAACAGCCCTGAGTGTCCACCGACAGATGAAGGGATGTACGCGACGGGATATCATTATTGCATCAGCTGGAAAAAAGAAGGAAATCCTGCCACTTGTGACATGGATGGACTGTGAAGGCATTAAGCTAAGTGAAATGAGTCAGAGAAAGAGGAATACCATATGATCTTACTTATATGTGGAATCTACGAAAGACCCTGAACTCTGAGGGTCAGAGAACAGACTGATGGTTGCCAGAGTGCGGGGGTGGGTGAGGTGGGGGAAGGTGGTCAACAGGTTCAGATGTTATAAGATGAATAAGTCCTGGGATGTAATGTACAACTCGGTGACTATAGTTAACAATTCTGCATTGTATATTTGAAGATTGCTAAGAGAACAAATCTTAAAAGTTCTCACATCACAAGAAAAAAAAAGTAACTATGGGAGGTAAGGAATGCTAACTAGGGTTAATGTGGCCATCGTTCCAAAATACATACACGTATCACATCATTATGTCGTATACCTGACATGAATATAATGTCGGATGCCAACTGTAGCTCACTTAAAAAAAAAAAAACATCTTTTTAAAAGTATAACTAGTGAGGTTGAACTATTTTCAGGCCATTAGCCATTTGTAAATAAAACGTTTATATCCTATGCCCATTCAGGTGTTGGAATGCTGGTTTTTTTTTTTTAATGGCTTTGTAGACACACTTTACATACTGAGAATATTAATTTTTTCCATGGACGTTGTACTAATTCCCCTAGTCTATTGTTATTTAATTTTATCATTTTTTGTTCACAACAGGTTTACTGTTTTGGTAGTCAGCTCTGTCCTTTCCCTCAGGTTTAAAGCTTTGAAATTTTGTTATTCATTGAACAGGTGAGTATTGATCTCAGTTTTCTTTCTGTAATTTTAAAATTCTTTTATTAATTTAATGATTTAGTTTTAAAAGCTAAAATGAATGCTAAAGCTGGACTTTATTTGGATTATGGTATGAGATGAAGATTAAACATTTTCCCAAATAACTCACTATCTCCCAAATAACTACACCACCACGGGAGCAACAACAGAAAGGCCCTTCTTTCCATTCTGACCTGTGTCTTGTTTATCGTATGCAGTGTATGTACCCTTGGCATTTAAAGATTTTAATACTTCAACTTTTGAC